ACTGAAACGGCTTGAGTTCTTACGACACTTCGCAAAAAGTTTACCATCAACAAACATCTCAATGAACTTCTCCAGAAAATTAAACATAAACACAAATAATAAACGACAACTACAGCCCTTTCAATTGCAGGTTAAGTGAATAAGACTAATACAGTCATTAAACCGTAAAGAATAAGCTGTAGTATATTATATTGTAACCTTCAATAAGTAATTGTCTGTAATCAAGAACCACGATGATTATTAATATCTATTTATTTGAAAGTCACGTAAAAAGCTGAAGGTGCCCCAAAACTATTATCAAAAACAAAGAAAAAATAAGTATTAAAACCTGAAGAGACTCCAAAGATCGATTCCTCCGACGATAGTCCACACTAATACCTATTGTTCGAGCCACTCTTTTTCCTATGCCAACAGCCTTCAACTCTTCTAGGGTAAATCCACGTCCCAGACGTAACTTCTTGTTATACCTCACTGTTGGGCACCTTACAACAGGTCTTAACAAACCAGCTGCAGGTCGAGGCGCAATCTGTAAGGCTTTGGTCATACGCTTCCGATGGCGTCTTTGCTTGCGAGCTGGTTGATCAAACCATGTTTTGATACGAGTTTGCCACTTCTTGTGAAAATGAGCATTTGGGATTACATTATTACCCTTAGGAGCCATTTTTTTCCACGCTAAAAAAAGTATAGCAGAAATGCACAAATTACAGAGTTTTTAACATTCGCCAGTAAACTGCATGAGACTTCGTCGAATACAACAAAACTGTAAAGGCAACATTGGTTTCATCAGAAAAAGCCATTCCAAATCTTCTGCAGCACATTAGTGAGTAAAACTACATCAAGAAATCACAAAAAAGGAGCTTATATTGCATAAATCTTACATTAAAAAGCAAAGCAAATCTCTTGAACTGCGATGTAACTACGAAGCTCCTAGACTATTCCTCTACACTTTATGCGCCAACTAGACAAAGTTACAACAACGCCGCAGTACTTAGAGTACGAATGCAAAGAGCGATCTTATATTTTGCCAAAAAGTCCAACTGCAGTGACAACAGCGTTCGTCAGTTATAATCTCACAAAAATCGGACTTCACAAAAATTTAAAGGATAGAAAACCGAGCCAACAATGGCTTCATGCTTCCAATTACTGCACAATAAAAAGTAGGCGAACAGAAAGGGAAAACTGGTCAAGTATACATCAGAATCGACTAGACCTTTCAATAAAACGCGCAACCAATTAGAGAATTACATTCAATCTGTACCTACATCTAAATGGCGATCAGCTAATAAATTACGGGACAAAAAGGATTCGGATCCAAAAACTGCAGGCACTTCTTGACAGAATCAACTGAATGACAAAGTCCTGCACTAGAAGTAGTACTAACGAAGACATGATACTCAGCTAAACTAGTTCGCTCCCTTCAAAAATTCACACTAAGCAGTCTATTGCAGCACACTTTTCGCTCGGCTCTCGTTTTTATGGCGTACTCCACTACGCGTGTCCCTTTCAAGAGACCCGAATTTGTGTTAGTTCCTGATTGTTTAAGTTCATGAATTTTTTTCGGTTGGCCGTTTAAGCATTGATGAGGACACGTCGTTTGTAAGTACATGCATATCCTGGACTTACACAGGTCAGCCAGATTTGTTTACTTGGTGAAATTGTGTGGCTGTGCGATTTTGTATAAATAAATTATTGAGATATTGAGGGTTGAAATGCATAACTCTAAAAACTTAGCCCCTCAGCAGAGAATTGAAACATTTTTCGCTTTTTAAGTATTTCTGAGAATTAATTCCCGATTGGCTTGGTCCAGTAGGCTTTTTAATTAGCGAAAGATTCTTATCACCGGAAGGCTAAAGTTGGCTAAGATGTACTGGTGGTGCATTGTGTACTACGGAAGTATCGGGTACACTTTTTTTTTCGGTAAAACGGGCTTCTAGGTGGTGTTTATCAAAAAATGGATGAGTGCAAAAGATTGCGAAAAAAAAAGTCATACTGAGATAAATTGGTTTTTGATTTGAAAACTGGTGAAGGAGCGATGTGTTCTTGAAATCTGAAGGCTAGATAAGCTAAATTCTTGGGCAATGTTTTTAAAAAGAAATTTAAAAACTACTTTGGAGTTTGTTGCAAGAGAGTGTTTCTCTAGAAACTAGGACTTGTGTAGGTTACAAGTTTCGGTCTTAAGATATTGTATCATAAAACTTATTTTGTTCTACCAAGTACTACCTGAGAGAGACTTTTAGGGAGCACAGTCATGTTTTGTTAGAGGATTTGAAAATCTGCTGGTCTAGGAATGGCCAGGGCAGTGAATGAGGTTTTAAACTTCAATTATTTCGTAAGAGTTTTACATCTAGAGAAGCTAAGGAAGCTATGTTAACTGTTTTCTTCGGATAACGGTACACAGTTCTTCTTACTTATTTAGATTCTCTCGTTGAGGAAGTATTTATTTACACTTGCTCTATACAAAGTTAGAAGCGGTACAGGAAAGGAAAAGTTGTACAAAACAGTTATTCAAGACGGAAACGTTTTATAAGCAGTTAAAGCTGAACCACAGTAGCGAATACTTTGACTTAATTTGAACCTATTTCATACTTTACTTTTGCGCAATTATGTAGTTAATGGCACTCCGGCGTCAAATTTGCGAAAACCGATCTGAACATGTGGACTTGCTCTCGTTAATACCCCCATTTTTATTGTTTCAAGCACTTTACTTGTCTTCAAGTTCTTAAAAATATCGATTCGGCTTTGGGGATGTGTACTGGCTAAACTAGTAAAGTTAATATTTCACAGCACCAAGTCCTGCCGGAATTGTAAAATAAAAGCACATTTTTAGTTTAGGCTAGCAGTGTTCTTTACATGTGTACATTCGTCTAGGATATTAGATTTGGTGTGCTCAGTACTCAAAGGGTCATAACCTGATCGTAAACTACTTCTCTGGTCTAAGTAGATGCCAAATAAGCACATTTTTGTCATTGAGATGACTGTAAGGTTATCTCACTGTGCCACATGACCTGTTGAATACTTATAAGGCACTATTTACCATAACTTGATCCTCACAGAATTATGGCAGTAAATTAACGTATGCAGCTTAGCAAGTGGCCGACATCAGGGATGCAGAGTAATACTAGTAAGGCGGCCAACTCCAGCAGCTTTAGTCCCTTCTATATTAGCGATTGAAAGTAACGACCTTAGGTTCTGGTCGAGATAACGAGGCGTTCTCCTTCAGGCACTTTCGGCTAGTATTCTTACGGCTTTTCGTGCACGAACTACAAATTACGGCCGAATAATTCAGATAGCTTGTTAGTCCGGTTGGGGTGCATTCAGCTGTCGTCATCAGCGCGTCACAATATTGTCAAAGGCACCTTCTGCTTGTGAAGACCCGATTTTGCTAAATTTGAAGAACAGCATATTTTTGTCGTGCACTAATTCGCGTTAATGTCTTGTAAAAACACAAAATTTTTTTACGAACAGCCATTAAAAATCTAAAAGCCTTTGAGTTTTCAACAATGTTTTGAATTCCATAAGTTCCTGTTTTATGTTCGTATTGCGGTTTCAATTGGTACTCCACCTTATAACTCCCAATTCTACGGAGTTTCACTGGCGTTTTCTGCAGAAATTAATTTAAAAAATCCCTAAAGCTATTTTGAAACCGATTAGTTACAGTTTTGATCTTTTCTGTAAAATTCAGTGATGTTTAGAATTAAGCATATTAAAACTTTTTTGCGTTATGGAATAGCTAAGTTATTCAGCAAAATGAACTTTTTCAGAAAAGCAATCTTGGGAAAACCGTAGGTTATTCAGTTGAAATTTTAATGTTCTGTTTTTATTATTTGGCTTATGATGCGGTGACAATATTTCCTTTGAATCAGTCCGTCAATTGCTCATTATATTTACTGAAACGTTGTGAGGAACAGTTGTAGGATTCTACAGTTTAGTTTGGAATCAATCAAAAAAAAAATTGATGTCTTACTGGGGTGCTTGCCTCTGTATAGCTTCCAGTTCTCAGTTTAATATTTACTAAATGAAATCATACGACTATAAACATTCTTTACCGTAGGCGTCCATAAAGTCGGTATTGGTTTCTTTTTGGCACAGAGAAATGATCGGAGAATCCTTTCGTAACTTACCGACACCAGTTTTATTTAATTTTATTTTTTTTATCATTTGAGCATTTTTTTGCAAGGTCTTCGCGGTTTTACATAGAATAATCTCAGCTACTTAACAGCATTATGCGTTAGGAGCATATGAAACGGTAGCATAAACATTTCATTACGTTGTCCCCTGGAAAAATTTGAACTTTGATTTGATAATGTGGTAATTAGACAGGCAGCCCATCAGTGATCGTTTCTTCACTGAGATATTCGCTGCTATAAAGCCCTGGTTACTAAACTGATATCCGCTTTTTTTATTTCTTCAACCTAACTATATATATATATATATATATATATATATATATA